GACACTGCTATAACCCTCTTAGGTGTGGTGAGGGGGCGCAGCTCCCACAAACATCATATACCACTGAAACAATAAAAGGAATTACCAGTGTATTACCGCATACAAGGTAATCAATGTAGCACATACAAGTGAGGGTTAAATATGTCTCGGCACAATCTATGTAGATGAACCACTGTATTAAATTGCCTGGAGATATGTGCACATATATAAAGTGTGAGTCCTGTTATCAGCAGATTGCATAGGAGGTTGTAATATCTGGTTTGACCAGCAGATGGCGATACAGTAAAGCTGTACAATAATCACAGTGCCTCTATCCCTGTTACTTGCGGTTTGTGAAGTCTGTTAGCCGAGCAGTCTTGCCAGGAGTTGAGAGGAGGTAAGAAGTGGTGGCCAGGCTCGTTCACTCTTGTAAGGCTCGTGATAGCAACCAGCAGATGAGGCAGTTCAGTTGGCGGGTAGGAGAGCAATTGCTCAACGTACAGTCTTAATTGACTGCACGCTTTTAACGAGGGAGTCGGCGTCCGTGGGCGGAGCTACACTCGGCGGCCCAGGGAGCGTGACGTCACTCCGTGACTTCTGGGCTGGAGGAGGGGCCGGGATCTGCGGCCCAGACGCTGCTGCTGAGAACGTCCCTGACACTCAGTCCAGGTTACCACCAGGTCAATCTACGATTGCTCATCACATGACATCCTGATCTCCAAACACCCCCACCCTAATGAAATGGACAGCTCTGCAAACTTTTCAGAAGAAGAAGATGAACATGAAGGAGGCTTTGATGTTGCGCTTGTCCAGCCATTTGTGAATGCGGTGAAGCAGGCGTCACAATGGGAAAAAGCTGAAGTAGAACCTCAGAAGAAAAAGGAAGTACTTGAAGAAAGAAGGTTTCTAATTTTCCTTTCTTCGAGGAAGTGAAAGAAATAATCTCAGATAAGTGGGCACAGGTGGAGAAAAAGTCTCCATTTTGAGAAGCTCTATCCTTTTAAAAGGGAAGCTGTGACATTTCTGAACAACTCTCCCCTGGTAGATGCGGCCATTTTGAGACTGGCCAGACATGTTACACTGCCCCCTCGACAATGCTGTAACATTAAGGCCTGGTTCACACCTGGGCGTTTTAACGCTCAACATGTGAAAACCAATGATTGCCTATGGAACGCGCTGCAAAACGCCCTACGGCCAAAGAAGTACAGGAGCTTCTTTGGGGCCTATTTGCCGCGCGTATCCATTAGGATACAGCCAGATAGCTCTCGTAAACGTGCGTTTGTTGCGCGTTTTTTACCGTGAATCACGGTAAAAACACGTGGCGGCAAACGCACATTTTCGGTAAGCCTAGGTACCCAGCCTTAAAGATGTGTTGGATAAATGCACTGGTTTAGATTTTAAAAATATCTGGCAGCAGAGGGCAAACCAGCCATAGCATGTATTAAAAATACAGAGTCAGCCATCTCTAATGATGTCAGTAAAGCGAAGATAATAGCATTATTAAAAGGGAGATTAATCTAACTTCTGCATTTATAGCTGAAGCAGCCGTCTCTGGCTAGAGTCATGTTGTTCTCAGTAAAGGGCAGAAGGATGCTATGGCTTAGGCCAGTGATGGTAAACCTTTTTGAGCCCAAGTGCCCAAACTGAATAACTAAACCAACTTATGTGTCTCAAAGTGCCAACCCTCCACTTAGACCTGAATACTGAGGACTTTTAGAAAAACACTTCATACGACTGTCTGTACCAATTATGTGCTTAAATCTTAGAAGAAAAATACAATATGAAAGGTTTTAACATCACTACAGAGTGAAATGTAGCTTTGTACTGTGCAAATGAGTGAAGTGTTCCATTGCAGTGTGCTACTAAGGTACATGTCATACAGCACACTGCAAGGGAACAGTCTCTCTACAGCTTGGAGTCAGTGTTGGAGCACCAGGGACCAGTTGCAGCTGTGAGCGCTGTGACCCTGGTAGTTCTGACATTGACTCCAACCTGTAGAGGAACTAATCTCAGCAATATATTATATAATAATGCAGAATACTGGCACCTATAGAGTACTACAAATCCCAACAATACATTATACAGCAATGCAGAATACCACAAACTATAGAGGACTACATATCCCAGCAATACAATATACAACAATGCAGAATACCACCAACTATAGAAGACTTTATATCCCCACAATACATTATACAGCAATGCAGAATACCACCTTCTATAGAGGACTACAAATCCCAACAATACAGCAATGCAGAATAACACCAACTATAGAGGGCAACAAATCCCAGCAATACATTATACAGCAATGCAGAATAAGACCATCGGCTATAGAGGACTGCAAATTCCAGTAATACATTTAACAGCTATGCAAAATAATATAAGGCTGCATATTCTGTGTTGCTCCAGGGTGGCGGTCTGATGTCTCCAGGGTCTCTGGAGGACTGTGTGGGCTCAAAGGTGAGCTGTGCAGGCTCTCAGGGGCACTGTGCAGTTCTCAGATGGGCTCTCTTGTGGGCTGTGCGGCTCTTAGGAGGGCTGTAAGTTACCCTACTTTCTCTCCTCTGAATTATCATTCTTGGTCATTTACATTAACACTCAACTTCTCAACCGAACGTCTTCTTTTGACCTAACACAATGGCCATACACTCCTACTCACTCTGATGGTAATATACTAGACCTTGTATTCCCTCACCTAAGCACTCCTTGCAACATCTCCAGTGCTCTTTTACTTCTGTCTGACCACAACCTTGTCAGTTTCACGCTCATCTTGTCCCCAACCGCAAATCCCCCCAACCAGCACACTGTTACCCAGGGAAACCTTCGCCATTTCAACCCTTCTCTTCTCTTGAACTACCTCTGACAAAATCTCACCCATTTTGCCTGATCTGGCTTCTATTGTCTTCAACAGCTTGCTCTCATCCTTCCTAGACACACTGGCTCCTCTGATTATACGCAGACTTAGGCCACCTCCGCTATAACTTTGGCAAACAGAAGATACCAGGAAACTCAAAAGATTTAGTCTGGCTTGTGAGCGAGTGTGGCGTAAAACTACAATGTAGGTCCTCTGCAAGTATTCACCCTGTATAAAGCTGCCCTCCTAAAATATAACTGCCAGGCAGACTGTCACTCATTAACACAATCTCATGCAGTCCTCGTCTACTTTTTTCTACTTTTACATCTCTACTATGTCCCCCGCCTCCACCCATTAACGCATTCACTGCCCAGAACATGCCATTCATTTTAAAAACAAGATAGATGCAATTCTGCCTCCACTTTCCAATTATCTTCTCCAATTAACGCATCAGACCCTCCACCACAATTGTTACTTTCCACTTCTGACCCGGTCATTGCAGAGAAGGATGCAAAGCTTTTTTCTGACAACCACCTCACCACCTGCCCCCTGGACCCTGTTCCCTCACCACTACTTCAGTCACTCTCTTGTTCTATCCTACACTCTCTTACTCACATCTTCAATCTTTCCCTCTATAATGGCATCTTCCCCTCCCCTCTAAAACATGCACTGTTCACCCCATACCGAAAAAACACCTTTATTGGACCCCACTAACTTTAACAATCTCGGATAAATTTCCTTTCCCCCATTCACCTCCCAACTCCTAGAATGCCTAATCTACAACCGCCTGAACCACCTCCTCACTAATAACCTTTCACCCCCAACAATCCACGGAAACTGCTTTCCTAAAACTCACTAATCACTGCTAAAAACAATGGCCATTACGCCTGACTCTTGCTATTAAACCTGCTGCTTTTGACACAGTTGAACACCAGCTGCTCTTCAAAAAACTCCACTCACTTGGTCTCCAAGACTCTGCTCTCTAATGGTTCTCCTCCTACCTATCCAAGCAATGCTTTAGTGTCACCTACAAATCTACCTCCTCCTCTCCTATCTCTTCCTCTTTCCGTAGGGGTCCCCCACGGCTCTGTCCTTGGATCCCTTCTCTTCTCTGTCTACACCTCCTCTCTAGGTCAGTTGATAAGCTTGCATGGCTTCCAAAACAATTTCTATGCTGCTGATGCTCAAATATATCTCTTCACTCTGCAGCTCACCCCTACAGTGTCCTTATATGTCATTAAATTACTGACATATCACTCTGAACACTTCCTAAAACTCAAATATTTTCAAAAACTGAGCTGATTATATTTCCTCCCCCTGTGCACTTCCCCCCAACTTTTCAATTGAGACAGATAAACACAACTATCCTGCCCCCCCCATGTCAAGGTGCTAGGTGTGATCCTGGACTCTGACCTGACCTTTCTGCCCCACTTCCAATCACTATCTAAATCCTGCCGCCTTCACCTTTGTAACATCTCCAAAATACACCCCTTCCTAACCAAACCCCTTACATGCTTGCCTCCTGGACTTATCTAGAGTCTCTCCTATCCCTTGGAACTCCCTACACCAACCTGTCCAGCTATCCCTTACTCTATCTGCCTTTAGGCAATCCCTGAAGACTCATCTCTTCAGGAAAGCTTATCCCGCCTAAACCCAACCGCTGAACTACAGAACCCAACAGCTGCCACCTTTTGTATCACTTTTCCCTCCCTTTTAGATTGTAAGCTTTCATGGGCAGGGTCCTCCTAATCATCTTTACTTATCGTATTGTAACTGTACTATCTTCCTTATATTGTAAAGCACTGTGAAAAGTGCAGGTGCTATATAAATCCTGTATAATCATGATAATATGAATAATTATATACTCTAGCTTATAAATAGTTTGCTGAACAATAACTAATTTATTTTTAAACTATGCTATGCACAGTTACCCATAACCTTTATTTTATTTCTATCATTCCCAGTGCAGCAGTTGGAAATTCACATAATGCTGATAGTTATTCTGTCTGCATTGGTTACTAAAAAGGGAAGGGAACGGTTGGGTAGCAGAAACAACCTATAGCTGCAGTCTTTTATCTGCAATCTGATAAGGGCAAATTAACAAAAACAAAAAAAGTAAAAATACAAGACTGGACTAAAGTGTAAGTAATATACTTTTATTCCATACCTTTTACAGATTTTCCATTAATTGTCCAGGTAATCGTAGGTTTGGGCTTGCCATCTACATCACAGATGAATTTTACATGTTCTCCAGGACTATGAATTTCATCTTTTGGCCTGTTAACCCAGTGGGGGGCAGCTAAAGTGAACAATGTAAGAATATAATATTGTGTAAGAAGAAATTGGAAACCAACAGATGATAGTCATATTAAAGTGCCATAAGAAGAAATAAAAACCTCCCTGACCCAATTCAGTTTTTTTTTAAATGTCATACTCTTGTAAAGTATGCATCTTTTTTATATTTACAGGCATTTTCAATTAAAAGTATCTACAGATGAAAGGTGTTCAACAGAAAAAAATATATACATAGAAGAGCGCTACTATCTGATAAGTTGATTAGATACTGAGCATCCTACTGTGGGTGGCTAATTGGTTGAGAAAGAAATAGATGGTATATGACTTACAGTTGTGATGTCATGGATGGGCCCATCCATGCAGTCCCGTGTGGTCAGCGATATTGATCCGTAAGTTACCGGGCAGGAAGATCTAAATTAGCTAGGATATCCCCAGGCCGCGTCCTCGGCTGGCCGGGCCGAGCCACGGCAACTGGAGCAGGAGAGGGAGAGTTGTCCGACAGCTGGAATCGGCACTGTGCAGTGTGTTGCCATGTGGTGTGCGGCGCGAACGCTGACAGGTCCAGTGAGCGGTATCGGTCAGTGCTCGTGAGTCCGAGGGAGATGTGTTTTGGTTGTAAGGCACCCCTGTGGGATCAGTTGGCGGCTACGTGCTTCGAGAATAACCCTCTTTGTCTAGCCTTAGAGCGGTATCAGCCGCGGGAGAATGAGTGTCTTTTAAAATTGACAGAGGGGAGGAGTCACATCCGAATGAGTGCCATGATAGGGTTAGACGCCGAGAGGCGGACCAACAGTCTCGAAGGCACTTCAGGGATGATTAGTCAAGAACTCTCATACTCCGGTTTTTCATTCTGGGATCCATGCGTGTTCTTCGATCTCTATGTTGGCTATTGTCACAGCTTATTACAAATGAGTATTGCCGTTTGGACAGGCCAAGTGGACTAATATTAAAACTATGTAAACCCTGCTGGCAAATGGAGAACTTACATTGTGACACAGATAAAAACCTATTATTTTAATTGTGAATAGAGAAAATGAAAATATCACATTTATTTAAAAAATGAATAAAAGGATTTTAGGTTAAAACGTTTTTTGAAATAAAAAATATTAAAAATTAATGTTTATTATCCAATGATTGAAACGTTTTTTTTAAAATAAAAATTGATGTTTATTATCCAATGGAACGAGGACTACTTATAGCTCCAAAACTGTTAAGGGGTGACCATCTACTCTTGATATAGGCGTTAGGGTTAGTACCAATATTCAGGTGAGTCCACCTGGGTCCCTTGGGGAACTAGTAGAGGAATCCAAGGACAGCTGGTGAATTACACACCAGGACTTGGCGCTTTTACTACTGTTGCAAAGCTTTTTAGGTGTGTATGCAACATGACATTTGGTCTACATGACATTTGGTCAAGATGCTAGCACACAGCTTCTATCGCAAGGCTGGAAAACCTAAAACATATTATTATGGTTAATAGTATTACAAAGAGTTGAGATGCACTACAGAATAGTGTGTATCTCAATTTCTTCATTTAGCCCATTCGGTGTTAAAGTATTGAGTTTATAAATTCAGAATGTTTCTCTTCTGCAAAGTGTATGGAAACGTTCTGATGGGGATAAGTGTGTGGGAATGTATTCGATTGCAAATACCCTCAGGTCATGGATCCTTTTTTGGTGTTTGATGGAAAAGTGTCTTGGGACACTGTGTTCCAGGTCGACCTTAGCAATAAGACGCCTGTGGTCCCGGATCCTGGCCCGTAGTGGGCGTATGGTGCGACCAATATACATCAACCCACAGGGACAAGTAAGCCCGTATATCACATGGTCATGGGAGCAAGTGATAAACTGCTTGATTTGGTGTTACTTTTTAAGATGATCAAACCGGAGTATGAGAGTTCTTGACTAATCCTCCCCGAAGTGCCTTTGAGACTGTTGGTCCGCCTCTCGGCGTCTAACCCTATCTATCGGGACCTATCATGGCACTCATTCGGATTTGACTCCTCCCCCCTGTCAATTTTAAAAGACACTCATTCTCCCGCGGCTGATACCGCTCTAAGGCTAGACAAAGAGGGTTACCCTCGAAACACGTAGCCGCCAACTGATCCCACAGGGGTGCCTTACAACCCAAACATATCTCCCTCAGACTCACGAGCAGTGACCGATACCGATCACTGGACCTGTCAGCGTTCGCACCGCACACCACACGGCAACACACTGCACAGTGCCGATTCCAGCTGCCGGACAACTCTCCCTCTCCTGCTCCAGTTGCCGCGGCTCGGCCCGGCCAGCCGAGGACGCGGCCTGGGGATACCCTAGCTAATTTAGATCTTCCTGCCCGGTAACTTACGGATCAATATTGCTGACCACACGGGACTGCAGGGAGTGTATGTGCCCATCCATGACATCACAACCGTAAGTCATATACCAACTATTTATTTCTCAACCAATTAGCCACCCACAGTAGGATGCTCAGCATCTAATCAACTTCTCAGGTAGTTGCGCTCTTCTATGTATATATTTTTTCTGTTGAACACGTTACACGGGGCTCCTCTCCCGATTTTTGAAGAGTCTATGCACACCATCTTCCACAAAGTCAGTAAGTGAGAGACCTGACCACATTACAGTTGTGCGCGTCCATGTATGTTTTGTTACAGATGAAAGGTGATACACTTGAACAAATAACACATACAATTGACCTGGTGGAATTAATCCCATTTTTATGATCAGGTCATAAATATTGAAAATGCACACTTTTCACATAGAAAAAATAAGTATACCCCTACACTTATTACCACTTTTAAATCCATGAAATGAAAATCATGTGTTCCAGAATAAATGACAATAATTAGAAACGCCTTAGGGAGTATGCAGGTGGAACCGGTTTTCGTTAAAGCTGAAGGTTAGTCCTTTTTTGGGAGGATACAACACCAAACACATTAGATGTGTTTAATTGTATGTATACCTTTAGTTTCAGCTGCTCCATCTTCTAAAAAATGAGAGGCTGCAGCCAAAGGAGTCTGCAGCTCTTTCCACCTTTCACAGATGTCTATTACTATGAACGCACAACGCATCAGGTTCCGTGAATGGAGGAGCTGATTCTGTAATTCAACTGCTCACTCCTCCATTTGCAGAATTCAATGCATTGTGGCATCATAGTAATAGATCTGTGAAAGATAGTGAGAGTTGAGTGGGGCAGGCAGGCAGCGCTCGCTGTAGCTACCCACAGACTCTCGGTAGTGCAGCCTCTCACATAGTGTGTAATATCAGGCAGTGGTGAGGGGAGGATTTTTAGAAAAAGGAGCAGTATGTAAAATGCCTACAAGAATCATTTGTATTGCTAAAGTGGCCAATTACCAACTTCTGAGGCCAGCGTTCTCTTTTTTTTTTTAACTTTTTTAATGTACACCATTACAGCTATTGTATTAAATAAAAGAGGCACATTTTCCTTATGTTTTATTCAAAAGTATCACCTTTACCTGTAGGCACTGTTTGAATGAAGATCTCATATTTGCCTGTTCAAATATTTTGAACAAGTCAACAGTTTATATTGGGTGTACTTACTTTTTCACATGACTGTATACATTTTTTTTTTTACTTATGTTTGGGACTAAAATAGCTTTTTCTAAAATACTACAGAGCTCAGTAGCATATTTTTTCATTGACTCATTAGCCTCCATCCCCTGCCTACCTGCTCTGTTTAGACAGGGCCGCTAAATCTAATCCATAATGCTCTGCGAATCCTTTGTCATGTACAATGTATTTGTGGAATAGAGATAGTATATAAGTAGTAAAAACAAATTAAACATACATTTAAAATCTTATAAACACAGATACAAATGAAAATAAAAGTATTTTTGTCTTACTAATAAAATCAGTTTTTGGCATACATCACAGGGCACGTAGTTAATTCTTGAATGTATGGGATATGCAGCTACCTACAGGTGATTGGACCCTGGCAAATCACCTGTAGGTAGCTGCATATCCCATATTACGGACAGCTTTGTATAACCCCTCCAACTCCCAGCTTGCCTCAGGTTTCTGGCAAGCAGTACACGAGTGGATCACAGAAAAGACAGGGGAGGGTCCTGTCCTGTACTCCAAGAAATGGAAAATCAATTTTTCTTGATTGTACATTACAGGACACAGCCAATTATTGAACAGATGTAAAGTCCAAAAGTTGCCAACAGAGGAATATGGGCAACAGAGCAAAGCACAGATGCCTGGCCTATGAAAACAACAACAACAACTAACTCCCAACAGGAAACAGAAGGAGACTACAGTTCAAGAGGGCCGACTAAAGAACCTTGCGGACAAAGCTAGCATTCACAGAGACCTGAAAGTCCACCTAGTGATCCTTGGCAAAGGTATGAACAGAGGCAGAAAGCAGATTTGGGAAACCGAAGACTGATGCTGGAAGACCCAAGAAGTACTAATGCTCCTAGTAGAGTGAGCCTTTACCAGAAAGAGGAGAAATGTATCATTTATCTCATAGGACAGGGTGATAGTATGCCAAATCCACCTAGTGATAGTGGAATGAGAGGCTAGCACAGAGGGACCCTTAGGAGTGATGAAGAGGGAGTCAGACATGCAGATGTAAACTGTAGCATGGAGGTAACCTCGAAAGGCCTAAACTAGTGGTTCTCAACCTGTGTAACCTCAGGACCCACATTTGTCCTTGGTTAAGTCTCGACCAAGTCGCACTGCAATGGAATGCACAGCATTGTGGTACCACACGTTCTGGTGCAGGCGATTGAACTGAGGACGGGAGGTGGTGATGAATGGTGACGCAACGCACCTCCCGCACCAGAATGCACAGTAGGTGCGATTGCTTGGTACAGTGTGCTAATGGCACAGGACTGTTCGATTAATGCACTGTCCTAGTGTGAACGTGCCCTCAAAAACACTGACAGACACACACAACCATAATCTCACACACATATACACACGCCAAAAGAAGATCCACCCAGTCTTCCTACCTTACGAGAACTGGAAATATGAAACT